TAACGCGGAGAGACATGTTTAAAAATCGTGTTGCCGAGTTGCAGAAGATTTGATGTTTTCGCGTAAAGAATATTTTTTACTCGGTTTCGTAATTCCATAAACGTATATAAATATGCACTAATGACGTAGAAAAACTTGCCAAGTTTTTTTGGTAATCTTTCCTTTCACAAAGCTGAATACATAACGTACACGAGGAAAAGAATTTAATTTTATAGCTTAAAATGTATATTTTTTTCTGAAATGAAAACGCTACGCTACGCTATGAACGTATAATAATTTTTTTTTTTAGTAATTTTTAATTATTTCTCGTGGTGCTCGAATGAAAATTTGTTAAGTTTTTTAAAATGCGACGTATATTTTTTCCCATTCGTTATTTCAATATAAAATGTTCTTTTTTTTTTTTCTTTCATTCATTCTTTCTTTCTTTTGTAAATATTCGACAAACAAATCATTGAATCGAGACTGGAAAATTAATTGGTTTGTTTTGAAGATTCGCACCCCCTGTTTTTTTTCTTTTTTTCTTTTTTTTTTTTTTACAGATGCACGCAACTTTTGGCACGGGTGTCTTACTAAATTAAAAAAATATATTAATTTTTGTTCCAGGTAAGATTTCTGGCTTCTTTGGCTCCGTTTCCTTTGGCACGCGAGCAGCTTGGTAAGTTGATTAAATTTTTCTCTTTACGTCTTCTTTCCTTTCCTTTATCGTTGTAATTAAGAAAAGAAAAGAAAATTTATCGTCACATATTTATCTATTATTGCGATATGTTCGTTGCGTTTGTTTCATGTCCAAATTCATATTTTAAAAATATTTTTTACTATTGAAATTCATTCGTTTTGCTTATTGAAATTGAATATCATCGTTTCGTCGAAATAAAAATTTAATAAACATCGAAATGTAAAGAGGTCTGATCTGATGAATCCATGAAGAACAATGTCCCCTGTAACGAATCATCGAAGTTTTTAGAGAACGAGCGAATTTTTTTTTTTAGGTGATTAAGAAAAATTCTAGAATTATTGAAACCTCCTAAATAAAATCTCTTCGATTAATTTTTTATTTCCAAGAAAAAGCTAGAAACTTTATCATTGCGACAAATCTTTCAAAAAAGATTAAAGTATCGCAAAGAAAAGTTTGTAACTATCAATCAAAATTGAAGCATCCTACTCTTGTACACTAGAAAGGTATCGAAAAAACGAGGTCCACGCCGCGAGAGTCTGTGATATCTCGTACGTTAATTAGAGGTGGCTACGATCTCGAAGAGTTACGACGCCTAGTAATTATTTCATTTGCCGCTTCTCGATTTGACAGTAATTAACGTAGCTACTTGGCCGAGCGAATATTAGCACGTCAGACGTGAAGTCAGCTCCATTCTTCCCCCTTGTTTAACCTTCGTTCCATCTTATGATACCGTGGTCGCGTTTAATTAACGATACTACCCCTCCCTCGTGTCTCTCCCCTATGAACGGAAATCTTCGTGTCTGGTGGATTAGCAAATTCCTCGCTGTTGATCTTGCGAAAGTTTCTTTGGAGAGATTAGCAAAATATTTAAACGTTCGTTTCGTTTCTTCTCCTCTCTTCTCTTTCCTTCTGTATCAATTATACATTGTTAGATGACAGAGGAGAGATACTGTAGGAAAAGTAAGTAATGTAATTGGGCAAGTTTCTTAAAAACTTTTTATAAACATTTTGACAACATTTTTTTTTTATAAAATTGTTCTCAAACAACAATCTTTCCTTCTAAACGAATTATCCCTGTTTCCTCTCATCGTTTCAATATATTAATTTATTATTAAACTGCAGAGGATTCTTCGTAATTAACGTTTTCTCCATCCCTTAAAATTCAACGCGAACTTTTTTCCCGTTTACGGAAATTAAAAGCATTCCCTTCCTTCGTAAAATTGTCTATTTGAATCGAATCGAATTCGTGTATACGCAAATAAAAAAATATTCTTGCCAAGTTTCCCGACGGATCAGCAAAGATCAGGAGAAATCATCACTTCTTTCGATAAAGAATTGGGCGTCACGATCTATTTTGAGAAACGGATAACACCATCAAAAAAAAAAAACACTCCGTTCCCCGGACTCATCAAAAATCAGAACCGTTCTTTCCCAAGCAAAACCGTGTCTTTATTCTCCCCATTCATTCATGGTGTGGATAATCAGGTTACCACTTTCGAGGGTGGTAGAGAGCCGATTGCTCGAGCATTCTCGAGGCCGTCGAGGGTGAATCGGTTCGTTGCGCAATCGATCCTGATCGACGCCGCTCGTTTCTGAACAATCAGAATCCCGAAGAACACATCGAGAGCGCTCTCGTGGCCGTCACTAACTTCTCGTCGTTTTTCTTTTTTTTTTTTTTTTTTTT